CCATATGATCCTTTTCTCGTCGTTCCAGCACATAGCCCAATCAGCCCCCGTCAGCACAAGCCCTAGACCTGGGTGGACTATATTAGCTTCATACTCTATCTCTCGAAATAACGAAAGTCAGCTCACAGGAGGCAGCCAGTTGGGTGTTCATGGTGAGATAGGTGGTCTCTGAAAGGTGCTAAAATAGACTCAGGTACTTATGAACTGGATTCGGTCGTTGCCACCCCGGTCAGAAGTCGAAACACCCGCGTGGGCTAAAATGTAAAGGAGGTTTGTAGTGTTTGGACAGTGTTGTAGTACTTCCATTCAGTACATACGAATGTTTGGGGAAACTTGGGGAAACATTCATTCATTTATTGACAGTTGACCCCCAATTATATGGACAATTCGCGAAAGAATGTCGCATCTAATACGAACGGCAGGCACGGCTAGTAGTCACGTGATATGCAGAAGGGAGAGATGGGTAGCAAAGGAATGGAGAGAGGATGGAGGACCGCTGCATGATTGCTTGCAGCAAATGGGACGTCAACGCAGCCGCAATGACCTAGACCAACAAAAAGTGTCCCTTAGCGACACCAAGGTGGTAGTGTTCAACTTTTCACCACGTACCATCTCAACTAAATGGCAGCAACCGAGCTGTCGCAATCAAATGATGAAGCAAGGAGGTGGGTGGAGTCTAGATGTAGGAGGAGATCGGTCAGCGCTTGGAAACAAGATGTCAATAATGCGGCGCATAAACTCGGGAACGGGAGAGGAATGGACAGAGACGCGAACAGACGAAACGAATTAGAGTCGGGAGTGGAGAATTCGATGGGCTTACCTTCGTCAGGTCAAGTTGACTCACATCGAGCCAAACGATGGAGACCAAGCCCCTCTCCTCGTTCATTAAAGCGAATTGCGTAACAAAACACCACCCCCTCTAGATCCAGGAGACGAGGTGACCACCATACCAACGGAGGTTGGTCATGACGGTACCCCTTCCCCTTCTAGGACTCAGCCTGGGCGTCCAATCATACACATATTCCGTTTGGGAGCTCCCGCAGCCACGACGGCAACAGATAGAGCAATCGCCACACAGTAACAACCCAGCTCCAGCTCTCGACCACTGTGAACCCGCTTCTCGGTGACTATTTGAAGGTGACTCTTCTGGTTCTAGGTGGCGTCAGCCATCGTATAGGGTCCTCGCAGGCCTGGACCTGTGAAGGGTGGCCGAGGTTTCGGGTATGTAGAGGTCTGTCTGCGCCTCGTGGCCCCGAGGTCGTAGGGCAGCACCATGCCGCATCGTATGGGTATGGAAGGAAGCATTCAGGGGAATCCATTCGGGGCGACCAAGTACCCGAATGAGAGCGAGGGATGAGCCTTTGGAAGAGAGGCTTTTCGTTGGGGTAACTAGTTGAAAAAGACAACTCTCGTTCCTCGCGGGCGTGGTGGTAGCCGACTCGTTGAGGGTGACCTAGAGAAATTGAGAATGGCGATGTCGACTACCAGCCGACAGGCGGTGAGACCGCTTGGTAGCACCATGGCGTGACTAACGAGGTCTGGGACGCCGCCTTAAGTATGAGGGCGTGCCGAATAGCTGAGCGGGCACAGAGAAAGAGACCCCGTGCAGAAAAACCACGGAGAATTCCTTCCAGCGGTAACGTGTGGTGCTTGGCCGACTGACGGACAGTTCGATGAATGCAACGACCCCTACCACATGGTAGGCGGCCAGACTACTTCGAAGGAGATGGGCAGCCGTCGTTCGAGCGTCGTTTATGGCCAGGGAGGACAAGGTCGACGTAAAAAGCCCTCACTCCGCATGTCCTGTGGTTGAAAAGTAAGCGACAGATCGATCAAAAGCCAGAGGAAAGACACATCATACACAGGACGGAATCTATATGCCTGCAGCTGCGTTCAAATTGTTTCACAATTGAGATCCACCAGCTCTTGTATGGCTCAGGAAGGGGGCGGTGATGGTGGTCCCTCAAACCAACACGGAACCGCCGTAGTTGCCCTTCACCAAGGCACCGCAGATCACAGTGCCCTACGTAATCCGGTGTTGAACGTCAACCCATATACCAGGGCTGAGGTACGGGTAAGATGTCTCATATACGAGTGGGCCGACATCGTTATATGAGCGGGAATGACGACCTTGGGGTGTGGCAACAGCAACGAGGAGAGATAAAGAGCAAGTGCCCTACTCCCTGTAAACAAGTCTCGTCAGTACAGGGCCGTACTAAATTCCGTCTGTGGCACGTACTGTGAACTTGGCGAGTCCACATATCCATTGCCTCCGTTGACCAGGGGAGCAGCCTCCATAACTTGGATTTTTTGATCTTGAAGTATTGCAAGGTTTCCAGCGGTGTGGTCAGGGACTGAGATCCGGCGATTCTGTATATTGTTCTATCCAAGGGCTCCCCAGAGCATGAATCGTCCAAGCCCTAAGTACAAGCGATTTTTACTTGCTAAAAACCCGGTGAATATCAATGAAGGCGCCTGGAATATGGTCTTGTTTACTTACCTCGAGGATTCAACTTTGTCCCAAGCAGCAAACCGATCGTTGACAATTGACGAGAGTATCAATCCAGCTTCCTCATTCCATCAATGTTATGATTCGGGACGATTCCAGTCCAAGTTCACGCATCGCTGGACGTACGAACAGGACACACGAAAACGACATGGAGGTAAGAGGGTATGCGTTGTTGATTTGCACTTGTTGTCTTTGGCGCTTCATGGTCATAGCCACCCAGCGCTTAAGTAACAGCCGAAGTCGGCCCGGCCTATCAGAGTATGACGCTACGCTGTGCTCGCGTTTATGCCCTTCACAACGACAGTCGACCTTTTGGAGGTCAGTTCGTCAGGGAAGCGGCCTAGGAGTTTCTTTTAACCATCAGGTACGCTTCACTACTACTTGAGCCAGGGCTTTGAACTGACTTGTCGGATTACAGAATCTCGAAGCATTCACTTCCACGAGAATGGAGGAACTCACGATCAAAGCAGAGACCCCAGTCGATCTATTGGGTTCATTTTCTCCTCTTAGCAGACCGGAGAACACGCCACACAACCAAATGTCATCTTCGGGGCCACCCTCGTACCAGGGGAATGCCGACCCGGATGCCACCTCATGGGATGATTCAATGCTTCTCACACCTGAGAGGTTGATGGTCCAGGAACACATAGGGAGAAGACGTGACTGGCCCGGGCAGAGGGTACCAGTCGAACTTTGGAGGCAAATCTTTGCTGAAGTGTGTCATCACAACTCGGACCCAAACCTCTTGGCCTTTCAGGTCCAACCAGTTCCCATCGAAATCGACTCAAGCGTTTGCAAAGCTAGCCCTCTCCGGCTGTCTCGTATTTGCTCCCTTTGGAGGCAGATCATATTCGACTTCCCCTTCCTTTGGTCATCCATAATTCTGCATCTTCCCCGGGCAAAGGATGAACGCTCTATTGTCCCAATCGCATTGCAATTTGTCCTCGAGAGGGCCGGACACTTTCCCCTAACTCTTCGCTTTCGTGGAGGGTTTGGCACCCAATGGAGGGACGATTTTCTGGCCTCTTTTCACCGCCCGTTTCTCCAAGCTATCGCACAGTCCAAGGTCCTGGAGATCAACCTAAACATTCTCCAACAACTTCCTCCCGAGACGGATCTTTCTTTCCCTCTCCTTCAAGCTGTAGTCATCGACAGCTTCTATGAACGAACTTTCATGTCCCCTTTTGCCAAACGCCACAGGGAAGCTATCATGTCGTCTCCCTTGCTGACTTCAATCACAGTTCCCCGGGTGAGATGGCTTGCTTCTCCGGTACCCTCCACAACGGTGCAATCGATCCAATGCTTGTTTTTGGTCGACCTGGAACTTTTCCCTATAATGTTCCCTCGCCTGGTCTCCCTACGACTCTTCATACCATTTTCCACCCGCATGCTTTCTCGCATCGTGTCACAGCTCAATTTCCCTCATCTCAAGTCTCTAGCAATCGCTGACGAGTATGGTTGTGCCTCCAACGTTACCGACCTTCTCGAGTCCGTGACCCTTCCCTCTCTCACCCATTTCAGCTTCGCGTCACAAGACCCTGCCACCGACGATTCGCGCGTGGGCGCTGCAGTCGTCAACTGCCTTCGACGCTCTAATGACAATACAGCTACCCTGGAAACAATACATATCTCTCTACCACAATCCTCACTTTCGTCCGATCCAGCGTGGATATCAGACATCATCCACCTTTCCCCCAGACTGAGATCCATGAATTTTGGATTCGCCGCCCCATTCGATCGTGGCGTCATGCCCAGTACCGCGTTCTCTCGCCTCTGCTCTCTCCTCACCGTTAACACTACACGCGAGAGTGACGTTCAAGTTCTACCCCTTCCATCTCTAACCTCCTTAACTTTCCGCATCCATGAGTTCGGGACCGAGACATCATGGGAAGCCACCGCACTCGATATGGCTCGCGAATTTCTGCACATGTTGGAGTCTCGGCCGAGAGATACCTCGAAACTTCGCCAGGCACAGCTCATTATAACCTGCAGCGAGTCTGTACGCCACCGGATGACGGGCGAGCCGTCTGGGCCGGTCGATATGGGCAAGGATGAAGTCATACGTCGGAGGGAGGCTCTTGAGCGTGAGGTGCCTGATTGTGTTATCAACGTTCCGGGGCTAGAGCTAGGAGGATCGGCGAGCCATGACGAATAAAGGGTTGACATTCGAGGGTCACAACGCTGTAAATGTACTAGAGGCGAAGGAAACATGTTATACGATACTTACGAACCCACGATAGGCAGTGCTTATCTATGCTTGAATAGTTACTATGTATATTACTGTACAGTATTCTCAGGAATGAACTGCAGAGGATTAAGTTAGATCTACAGTGAATACAAATTCGTACTGGTTCGTCCAGTATAATGGGAAGCAGATGTTGAATTATCCAGCCTCGCCTTCCTATGACTCGTGCCATCAGCGCATACTCACTGAGAGTCCGAAGCAAAAAAGGATAAGTACTTCGGGAGAGAGAAAAAAAAACTGAAAAATTGATCCCTGCCCGGATTGAACGGACGACCTTCTGGAAACCCCAACACTGGAATCAGATGCTCTACCGCTGAGCTAAGGGATCTTGATGAACTTGGATTTGCTGTTGGTTACGTAGTGTCGATTGCAGCGTGGGAGGTGTTTCTTCGGACATTCAATAAGTATCATGATAAACACGCGGGCGCGGTTCTTCAGCGCTCTCATCAGGACCACCATCTACGTCAAATAGCTGTGGGTATTCCCTGTGTAGTGTGACACCGAACTCTCAATCTCAGAGGTGAGTACCATGGTCAGGACTCCAGTCGAGGCTCAAACGTTGACCTGTTGAATCTGCCCTCATTAGATTCTAATTATCGATGTCCAAGGAAAGGAACGAGCACCGTACCCTTCTCTGTGGCCAGTGTGGTCGCAAAACGGTGGTGGATCACGGTCTTCCGCTCGCGGTGGAGGTCCTCCGGTCTTCCACCTTTCCATCCGAAGCAGAAACTGTTCTACAGCAACAGCTTGCAGATTCCGACGGCCTCATTCTCCAGGAATATGATCGAGAGATTGATGCGTTGAAGTCAACCCTGCAGAAGCTCGAAGCAGATCGACTCTCCATTAAGAAACGCATAATTGCTCGAAGATACTACATCTCCTCCCAGCGCAAACTTCCCGCCGAAGTTTGGAGGAAAATTTTCCGAGGTGCGTGCTCTCTCGACGAGTACTACCACGTTGGAAACGCGCCCTACCTCGCAAACATCCCATTATTGCCTCCCATCGAGCTCGATTCTGAGCCCGCAAGCTGCAGAGCGACACCGTTGACTCTTTCGCTCGTGTGTTTGCGGTGGAGAGATATAATCTTCGACTTTCCGGAGCTATGGGCTTGTATGCGACTAGGGATGTTTTCGCTCACGAAAACCAGACTTGCCAAACTCGAGACCTTTCTTGAAAGGGCCCGCACATACCCGCTGACCCTGTGGCTTGACTCGAGCTTCGGTGAAGTGGAAATTGAGGGTTTTAACTCCGTAGCCCATGGCTTACTCTTGAAACTACTCTCGCAATCCAAACATCTTGTGGTACCCCTTTCTCTCATACAGGGAGCTAATTTCCAGGGATCACTCTCCTTCCCATTCCTGCGATCACTCTCTCTCATATCCTATTACAATGTATCTTCGGATGCTTCGACGGAGAGCTTTGGAAACCATCAGTTTGAAACTATCCTTTCCGCCCCGTTATTGGATCGGCTTGTGGTGTCAGAACTCACAAGTCTCCCATTCTCCGATGAGCTCAATCGACCATCCCGGGCCTCTTCATTACGTTCGATGGGATGCTTACAGCCAATAACAAAAGCCGAACTTACAGCTATCGCGTATGCATTCCCTCAGCTCCGTGAGCTGAACTTCCAAATTTCTGAAGAGGACTCGAATTGGCACACACGAAGCGGTCAGACCATCGCCTTCCCTGCCCTGGAGACTTTGGATATACAGATTGATATGGGGGGCTCTGCAGGAGCAATGGATTGGATCACTGTCCCTTCTTTGAGAGATTTGAAGATCACCTTCTCTATGTATTCGGACGAGGCCTGGCGTTTTGGAGACTCGTTGTGTGCTTGCATTCGTCGATCGGGCTGCAGTGTCACGAGTCTTCACTTGGCCACTGTCATTTCTCCCGAATCGAATTGGCTATTGGAACTTTTCACACTCTCTCCCGAGTTGAAATCACTCCACTTGTCTACTCGGATGCCGTTCGAGGGTCTACCGAACTCATTATTCTATCGCCTCTGTCGCTTACTCACTGTCTCGCAAGGGACAGGAGCTGAGGGCGCCGACGTTCCGTTACCCTGTTTGGATACACTAGTTCTGCAGATCGTCGACATGGGAATTTGCGAGCCAACCGGATCCGGTTGCCTCACTCTGGACCTCGTACACCGCTTTCTTCTTATGTTGGAATCGCGGGTTACAGCGACCTCTCTTGGCTTTCGATCCTCACTTCACCTTCCTACCCATAGCGAGCTCATCATTAGCCCCTCGTTTGTACCATGGGCATCGGAGGATGGGGAAGTGCTCAAGTACATTTATGATGGCATGGAGCTTACCAATCTTGGCTGGGAGGACATGGAGTCTCGACGGCAGAAGCTTGAGAGCGATGGGATGAGGTGTGTCATAGATAAACCGGGATCGGACGAGTTTGCCGAAAATTAGTCCCTCGATGGTGGGGATGATGATCCTTACATATTGTTCGAATGATTCTTCCTGTCGGTTTATTCGTGCCCCTCGGCATTTGACAAAGGCTGAATGAGTTTTCCTTTGCCGAGGTCATTCTGATCTTCATTGGTCTACCGAACATTGACCTATTAATGCAGTCTCTGCATTCAAACTCTTCCTTTCCTTCCGACCTTTTGACTTCATACCAAAAACCATCTTTATTTCCCCTTTGGTATATCGTCTACCTCTAATAGATCATTCCTCTCGAAGCTGTAGAACATCTGCAGATTCGCTCCGGCGATAGTGACCTGAAAAGGGTCACCAGCGCTGTCAGAGATACATCACCTCCAGATGCAGATTTGGGGGGAGCCCACCCGAGTTTGTGACTTGTGAAAGTTCCAGTGGGGAGGTGATGGTAACGAGAAGACGGGTTCAGGACGATTCCAAGATCAATACCAACCCCAATTGATGCAACTTGTACTCTCTACATTGCAAATGGTATCCAGGCGACGCTAAACCTGAGTAATGGGTTGACAGATAGTGGGCTCTGTGGGTCAGGCGTGTCATCAAATTTCCCTACCCCGACTTTCGGAGATTCAGCCAGCCAGTAAATCATGAATCATGGACCATGGTCATTTGGTGAGCTAGATTTTGCTAAAGTTCGCCCGAACACATCTTCTTGCAGAAATCTCGGCAGCAGCTTCGGGATATACTTGTAGGCCCAAACCAGATACTCCGACATACAAAGCACTTTCATCGTCAACCGTATACCATTTATGTATACTATTGTGCCTGCCCACGTCTCCTCGTGTTTCCGTTTCCTCTCGCCAGGGTGGACTTAGTCTGGAAAATATGAACCTCCTCGTGATTAGACTTTCGATTGGGCGATCTACCGAACTCTTCAAAGTCTGAGAAAAATAAAGCACGCATTGCTCAGCTCTCTCGTCAAAATCGGTGCCATAAGTAAATTCAACTTTGGCCAGAGAATGTACCTACGTGTACTACGAAGATACTTCCGATATTGAAGTTTCCAGTGCTGTCAGGATTCAAGCCCTGACTCTTGAAGATGTCTAGTGAGTACAAAATGATTGACTGCCAGTCAGACCAGTCACCAAAGTCGGACGGGTGGCCGACAGAAGCGCTCACATGATCTGTGGCGTTCAACTCAAGAAATTCCCACCATTGGCATTCACGAGCTCCATCATTCTACTAGACGCCCGTACCGATGTACTGGGTTTCTCTCCGGACGATCTATAGCGAGGGACCCTCACTCGGCGGCATTTTGCAGCTCACTGAAGTAACTACAGGTCTTAGGAGATCTACGGCACCCTCAAGGTTTTTCCCTTGAGTTTCTGGCACCGTCAGGCCTGTGTTGATAGATCTGAGTACGAAGTGTTTTATGATCATGACTGTCATGTAATCGGTATACATACATAGCATATTTATGGACAGGTGGGCGGCAGAAGCCATATCATCTTGCCGGACAGCGCAGATCTCCAATCAACCCGACGCGTGGCCGACGCGAGATAGCTGCCACGAAATTTGCAGATGCGCTCTTGTCTTTACTGCCTCTCTACCGTTTGATTATCGTTTCGTATGCTCAAGACAACTTGAATGCTCCTAGTATGATTGGTGTCTTCGTAAACGCGCACGAAAATCACGCCGCCAAAGCTAAGACAATGCTATCCTCGGTAAGGGCTGTGCATTACTACGCCATCACGCTAAGCGCGAACTGTACCTGGATCATCAATACCGCAGTATAAAGAGGGCGATGTAAGGGTAGTTTGAGGTGAGGTCTTCCCACCCCCACCCCGCGCTTCCCTTCATTCAAAGTCAAGCTCGGCTTGCAGCAAGGAGTTGATCTCCTTCGTCTTTTCTAAAAGTTGTGTTTCATCTTCACTTCCCGTTCAGTTTTCCTGTGAAAAGACTGCCGAGCATGTCTTCAGCACCTTCACATCACTTTCTTTTTCTTATCCTATCATCTCTACTACTTGCTCCAGCGTTCGCATTGCGGACCGAGGCTCCTGGATCCAAATTTCAGGTCATCGACAAACGATATATCATCGAGATCGATGAAACACACGGAGTGTTCCGCAGGGATACGAGTCCGGTGCGTCTGCTCTCTGACGATCCGCCATCCTGGGCATCAACTTATGATGAGCGGGTAGACTCATATCCACAAACGAATGTACCAGCACCTAAATACTCGGGGATTGAATTATGAGACTCACCACGAGTATGGAACTCCGCGTGTTCTTATGGGGATGTCGTTGACCATCAAGGTGAGCCACTTATATCCATTCGAAGGGATGAATTTTCCCAAACCCATTGATTTCAGGACAATTCGGTAAGTGCGCGCCACACTGTCCGAAGCCGTTTCTGAGCAAGGGTATTCCCCACTTTAGGATCTCGCCAGGCTTTACTCAATACCGGGTGTCAAAGCCGTCCACCCCGTTCATAGGTTTCCTGCACCGAAGTGAGCAAACGAGTTGCCAAGTGAAGTGAATCTCGACTCATCAGGATAAACCTTCATCAGACCGTTACCAGTCTCCCTTGCCAAGCGGGCTGCTTATGCTACTTACGATCCCAAGAACGCCCCTGCAAGCGATGCTCTACACGCGATCACTGTGGGTGTCTCTGGCTTCCCTCGATGTTTTCCCTCACAACTTATGATTTTCTTGCTCGTGCATGTAGGGTGTAGACAAACTTCACAGTATGGGCATCAAAGGAAAGGGTATCAAGATCGGAATGTACGCGGAACTTTCTGGCGATCTCAAGCTCTACACCACATAGCTCACATCTTTTCGTGCTATTTTTCTTGTTAGAATCGACTCCGGAGTCGACTACAACCACCCTTCCTTGGGGGGAGGCTTCGGACCCGGTCGCAAGATAGTCGGAG